CCCTCAGCTCTGGGACTGAGAATTTCTGCCTCTTTCCAGTAGGAAACTTCATTTGCAAAGATGCTGAATGCCCCGCGGTGGATTTCCAAGTAGGCAGAGGTGGCGACATAAGCCTTCCTGACTGCTGGCATGAGCAGAGGGGCAAGGCCAATGTCACCCACACAAGCTCTCGGACCACCTTTACAGTAAATGGGGGTATCGTGTTTCAAAAACCATAATGGATTTCTAGAAGTCCAATAACCAAAACAAGAAAATGGGAAAACTCCTCACACCTAAGAAAAAATAAAAGTCACTTCATTCTGAAAGCCATCTGTCGTTACACTTGGAAACTGATCTTTGCCCTTAACAAAGAAGGCGCCCTTAACTGATCTGGAGTAAAATGGACAACTGAAAGACAGCCTTCGTCCACAAGAGCAGGAAAGTTTTGAAAAACTGAAATAAGGCATGAATTATTTAAGTGATAAGAAAAGACTCGAGATTTTTGTACCCCTTTATGGTATCAGGTGACACATCTACTACTGATTGGGGACAAGTTTATTACAAGATCATGATAATGTAAAACATTCTGTATTGTACCCCAGTAGAAAATGATCACCAAGGGAGAGAAGTTTATTTGTCTCCTTTAAAGAGAGAAAGTTTGGCAATTACTTGAGCTATAATACCATTGTTTGGGACAGTGCCCTAAGGACTGGTCATTAAGCCTTAACACTTGGATAAAAACTACCACTGAAGAGCAGAGGTGGCTACAGATGATTACAAGCATTCAAAATAAATATTCAACATGTTCCCAGTGGGTAAAAATCCTTCTGGAGGAGTCCTCGTAAAAATCAGAGCTGTTAAATGGATCTCATGAGTCTGTCCTAACAGGACACTACACTCACAATTTTTCTTCAGTTAAAACAGCTTCACTTAAAAAATAAAAGGAAGAGGTACAGGTAGGATACGGTCAGCTTCCTCACAACCAGTGTGCGCCCAGCCAGGGAGAAAGGGAGAGACATACCAGGAAATGGGCACATCACTTGGCACAGAAAAACAGGGCTGAGTCAGAAGAAAACAAGAGACAAACTGCAGAGGCTTTACTCTCTTCCAGCTGTTGAAAGCCCCTAGGATTAGTCCTTAGAGAGACATTTCTGAAAGACAGAAAAAAGGAAAGAAGGGAGGAAGGGACGGATGGAGGGAGGAAGGGAGGGAGAGAGAAAGGGAGGGAGGGAGGGAGAGAAGGAGGGAAGGAGAGAGGGAGGGAGAGAGGGAGAGGGAGAGAGAAAACTCAAGGAAAAGGACA